GCTGTGTTACCTTGAGCAAATTATTAGCCTCTCAGAGCCTCCGTTTCTTTAGATTGGAGATAGCAGAGTAATAACAGCCACTCACCGTCTAGAGGGTTTTAAGCACTAAATGAGATAACGCAGGTAGAGGGCCTCGTCTACCTAGGGCGGTGATGGTGAGGACTCAGCACAAAGCCCCCGCTCTCTCCTTATCCTTTCCTGAGGCTCTTTCCCTCCCTAAAAGGTCTGTGTGGCCAAGGCGGTGAGGCCCCTCTGCCCTGTGTCCTCCGTGGACCTCGCAGTGACCCACAGAGACAGCCAGAACTAGGCAGGTACCAACATCTGAAGCAACTCAACTATACATTAGAGACCCCAGAATCCCCCAGCCCCCAGGCTCCCTGCCCCAGCCAGTGCTGCCTGCGCCCCGCCCTCGTCCCCTGGTGTCCCCTCTCCGCCCTCTCCCCTCGCGGAGATGGATGTGAAGTCTGTGCGGGAACCTTGCGTCCCAGACCCGGCTGAGAACCGGGTGGGGGCCAAGTCGTCTGACCCTCCCCCTCCCCAGCTCCGCGCCCCCTGGCCAGAGAGGGCGAGATCTTAGGGGACGGTCCCCAGCCGGGCCCGCACGCACCGTTCTCGCAGCTGGAGTTGCCGACCCGCAGCTCCATGGGGCCCCGGGCGGACCCGCGCTCCCCGGCTCCGAGCAGGTGACCGCGACGTGTCCCGGCGTGGCTCGCACGCGAGAAGACGCCCGGATCGGGACCCAGGGGTGGGGAGAATGACGCGCCCCAGAGGGGGAGGGTCCCCGGGGAGGAGTCACCCGGGGTCTTGGGCAACTCCGGGGGCTGCGGGCCCAGCGCTCCGGTCGCCCGTGGAGGGGCGCGTGCCCTCCCGGGGTGCGGACGCCGCCGGGCTCCCAGCAACGGAGTCGCCGCCCGGTGCCCGGGCAGGAGGCGAGGGGGCGGGTCCCCGGGCGCCGCCGCTCTGGGACGCCTGGACTGGCACCCAGTTCTATCTGCAGCGACAGAGGTGATGGTCCCCTGGACGGCGGGAGAGGGGCTGGGAGGGGGTAGTGGCACTGCTACCAGTGGGGACCCGGGTTCCTTCCTCCCTCTGTCCCTCCCTTCCCTCTTCCCTCTTTCCTCTCCATCCCTCTCTCACTCACTCCCTTCCCTCCTTTCTCCCTCCACCTTTCCCTGCCTTATTTATTTATTCAACATAGGTCTAATCTGTGCCAGGCCCTGGTAAGTAACAGGTACATAGTAAGTGCCTAATAAACAAATGCTCAATATATATTTATGTCCAATGAATAGATGATAGGAATCTGTAAATTGAATGAAAGAAGCAAATAAAGTGACTGGAGACAAAAACAAGTCAGACTATTCCTTTTCCCCCAAGTATATATTAATGGGGGAAACAAAATGAGATCACCTATCTATAGACCAATGCTTTCCAAATTACCATTTAAAATTAATAGTCGTAATGTAAAGTGTATTTGTTACTGTGGGTAATAGTAGAAAAACACTCACCTGGACCATAAAAACACTCACGTAGTGCTTGCTATAGGCCAGGCAGAGTTCTAAATGCTGAAAAATTCTGGTTCATTTAATCCTCATGACAACCATGTGAGCTACATACTTTTATGATCTACAGAAAAGAAACTGAGACAGCCTCTTCTTGCCCCTCTGTGTGTATGTGAACCACCTTGGGGTGGGCAGGGCAGAGGTTAGAACAGAAAGGGTGGTCCCAGCCATTGCCAACAGAACACATCCAAGTGCACAGGTCTTTAAGTGCACCCAGGTCTGCCCCTAACTTTGGAGGGGTGTGACGCCGGAGTTCAGGTGGAGGCGAGGACATCCAAGACCAGTATGAATTGGAACACGGAGCAGCAAGAAAGTGGATGATTGGCCCTATTGGGAAATGATAGTTCATTATGGAAAAATATATGCATCTATGCTATCTGAGAGGAGGAATTTAATTTATTTTTCTGTTACCTAAGCATCTCTGCTGCTCAGATACTCCTTGTGCAACAAAATAGTGTCCACTCTGACACTGGCCATGGTACAGCCCCCTCAAACCCTCACTGCATTCAAACCCGATGCTTTTGTTCTGAGAACATAGGACAAGAGATGTGGAGTGTTTCCTTATGGCCTAACTTTTCCCCCCTAGCTTTATTGATGTATGATTAAAGAAAATGTATATATTTAAGGTGTACAGTGTGGTGATTTGTACATATACACATACACAATCAAGCTAATTAATACATCCATCACTTCACATAGTTACCGTGTGTGTGCACGTGCACACGCGTGCGTGTGGTGAGAACACCTAAGATCTAGTGGCCCCCTTAGTGGCCTGACTTTTTAAATCACAAGAGGATGTTTAAGATTGCAGTTGCCAGAGCTGAGCCTGGATCCTAAGAGACAGATGCATATATGTGTTCTTTAATACATTCATTTTTATATGTCTGTGATTTGTGAAGCCACTAAATTTCAGGGTCCAAGGAAAAGGCTCCCTTGCCTGGGGTTAAGGGAAATCCCGTGCTTTGAGACGGTGCTTTTCAGAGTTAGGTAAATTTTGTGTTTTAGGGTATGAGGTGGAGGGATCTGGGATCCACTGCCAGTCTTTCCACACCCTCTGTGGGCCTCAGGCTCCCCATCTGTTCCAGGAGGGGGCTGGGCCTCCCCAGGGCTGGCATCGGAGCATCTCCCACCAGTGCAGACATGAAGGGCCCCATTGTACTGCAGGCTCCTTGGCTGCTGTCCTGACAAAGCCCTTTTCTCCTTCAGCCACAATGGCCGTGTCAGGCAGGTAGCAGGGCCTGCAGCATTGTCTACCCAGAAAAGAACAACAGGATTCACTGTCTGTCACAGGCTCAGTCTCCCTGGGGAGGCAAGTGGCTTTGGAAGGGTCTAACCAGCCCAGGGACAGATGAGTTCTGTCCTTAGCCAACCAGGGACTGGTGAACCTGCCACAACTCCTTTGGTCAATTATTTAGGAATGAGCATGAAAACAAATTTATCAAAACCCAGGTTCCTAAAAACTTGGCTTTTCTAAGTGCATGTCTACATGTCTTATGTTACAGAGTTGTACTATTCAACATGGTAGCCACCACCCACATGTGGCTGCTGAAAACTTGAAAAGCTAATCCAAATGGTGATGTGCTATATGTGTAAAACAGTTTCTGTTAATGTTTTGGACCAGATAATTCTTTGTTGTGGGGGGTGTTCTTTGTAGAATTGTAGAATATTTAGTAGCATCCCTGGTCTATACCCTATGCCAGACACACACAACTCCACCCCCTGCCCGCCTGGTTTTGACAACCAAAAACATCCCCAGACAAAATTGCCCCAGGTTGAGAACCACCCAGATTTCGAAGACTTAGTGAGAAAAAGAGAATATAAAATATCTCATTAATGATTTTTTAATAGGGATTATATATTGAAATGATAATATTTTTGGATACATTGGGTTAAGTAAAATATAGTATTAAATTAATTTTCCCTAATTCTTTTTACTTTTTATAAGGTGGTTACTAAACAATTTAACAGCACCATTGGACAGTGCTGTTATAGAGGGAGAAACTGAGAGCCAGAGGGCAATTGACCAGTGGAAGGTCACAGAGCAACAGGCAGAGTCAGGAACCCAGTCAGTTTTCCAGACTGGTACCCTAGACCAACTCTACTACTCCACACAGCTTCATAGCTGAAAGGAGATCCAAAAATCACTGTGCTGGAAGTTTCCAGAACGGTTTGCTCAAAGAGCAGTGGAGGAGGAATAGAGAGTAGAGACATAAGTACTATTAATGCTGTTTATAGAGGGCTTGCCATATGTCATATGCACGCTCACTAATCCTTGCAACAACCCTGGGAAGCAGGTTTGGTTATTATCCCCATTTTCTAGATGAGGAAACAGAAGTCCTATGAGGACACTCAGCCTGCAAGTTGAGAAGCCAAGAATCAAACCCAGATATGGTTCAATACTATACATACTGCTGGGCCAGCCCCGTGGCGCACTCGGGAGAGTGCGGTGCTGGGAGCGCAGCGACGCTCTCGCTGCGGGTTCGGATCCTATATAGGGATGGCCGGTGCGCTCACTGGCTGAGCGCGGTGTGGGTGACACCACACCAAGGGTTGCACTCCCCTTACCGGTCACGAAAAAAACAAAACAAACAAACAACAAAAAAATACTATACATACTGCTTTATAGTCCCAGGTCTAGTGACCATCTATGAGACTTCAGTAGGTCACTTCTCCTTGCATCCTACCCTGAGTAAGAGGACTGGGCAAGATATAGTCTGAAGTCCTTTCTAGCCTGGCAGAGCTGGTCTTCCGGGCCAGGTGGGGAAGGGCAGCTGGCTGTCACCTCCATCAGGCTGACAGGGTATCGTGGGATCTGGACAATCAGCATGCAGAGACCCTTTTCCAGGTGTGTCCCCAGGATGGCTGCTATCCTCATGAGGAGCTTTATTGTTATCAGAAATAATGCTTGGAATGCACACATGTGCACTAGGTGTGGTTCTCAGAAGAGCACCATGCCCAGTGATGGCATCCACATGCAACTGGCATCAATAATGTTTATTAGAACAACTCTCTGATACTGAGTTCTTTGTGTGCTAAGCACTCAGTAGGCATTAGCTCATGTGCTCATTACAGTACCTTACTCTGGGTATCATTTTAAGTCTTATTTTACAGATGAAGAAACTTAGGCTCAGGGAGGTGAACTGACTTCCTGAGGTCACACACAATGATAGTGACAGAACTTCAAGCTGGGATTGTGCATTCCCAGAGCAGCTCTCTTAACCCAGGCACTGGTTCAATGAGGCTAGAGCCTTCTTTCCCAGACCACTTCCTGGTCCTCCTCTGTATGGGGTTGCTGGGGAGATTGGGGCCATCCAGAAACCACAGTGGTAACTATATAAGCTTCTTTTTTCAGAGACAGCTGGAAGGGCTCACCTAATCAAGCCCCTTAGTTGGCAGATAGGGAAACTGAGACACAGAGAGGGGCAAAGTCATGCCCAACATCACTTGTATAATTTGTGGTAGACTCAGTACTTCACTCAAAGTCATTTGAGTTCCCATCCAGCATGTTTATCTCCCTTTTTACTTTCTGGGCAGAAAGGGCTGAACTTTGGGCAAATCATGATGTAATATTTTTTGGCCATTTTTTAAAAGATGAGCCAGTGCACAGGATTTCACACACATCATTAATCCTCACAAGAAGCCTATGAATTAGGTATTGCTATTATTCATGTTTTAGAGATGAGAAAACTGAGGCTCAGGGAGGTTAAGTTGTCTGAATTAAATGGTGGAGTGATAAGGAAACCCAGCAGACTGATTCTAGGGCCAGTTTCTTCCTCACTCTTCCCAGGCTGGTTGCATTGCATCTGTGGGATTCTCCCACCAGAACATCTGCCTACAGGTGCAAGACTTTCAAATTACTGTGGAGGGCAGAGCTCACTCCGAGGCACATATGTGGAAGTGCAGCATTGCTTGGCCATGATGTGGGTGTGCAGAGAGCCTAATGCACTTAAATTATGTATAAGAAATTCAGATCATATCAAAAACTAGCTATAGTTAAAATAATGATACTGATGTGAACTATTACTTGTTGCACGACTTCTATGTTGCAAGTTCTTTACATGTATTACCTGTAATTCTTACAGCAATCCCACATTAGATAACTTCATGCTATGTGAATTCCATGGTAACTACATGGTGATGACAGTGAGACATTGTGAGGTCAAGATCACACAGATGATAAGTAGCTAAGCTGGGATTGGAGCAGATTCTCAAAGCACCTGCTGTTGTATCTTTCTTGTTCCCTACCATTTGCTTCTCTGAGTCACCAGCAACCCCAGGGTGAGGGAACAAGGGAGACTGTAGTGACGCTCATCCCCTGGGCCTGTGTGGTTGTGAGGTCAAGATCACACAGAT